AAGAAATTGCTTGACATTCCGTATTTGTAAAATTTAAGTGACTTGTACAACATGGAATTCATATAAAACGGAATAATCAATGATCTTATATGGGGGTCGACTGTACACAATTATTATATACAGTATATTCACAAAATTCACAAGTGTTTATCACATGACAGCTCACAATGATTAGGCAGATGAAGAACAAGGGGAATGGTCCACTGAATACCAAAAATATTCACACTTCAGGAATGCGAAGCAGAGACAAATTCTATCCACAGTGACAAAGGTTGTCTCTCACCAACAGTTTCTTCAATGTTAATGATGGATTAAAAAAAAAAAAAAAAAAACAGTTAGACTTACACCTCTTCTCGACACAGAGAAAGCAGATGAACTCTTCGATGAACCTCACTCTAGGGCAAAACACACCTCCCTTCCAGTCTCTGGACAGAATGCCAATCCCACACCGAACACCCCTTTTATACATTGCCATCGGTGCAGGGCTGCCATACAAAAACCGCCCAAAGTCACGCAAAATATAACAAAAGAAGAATGTAGACATTGTGGATAAAAGTACAAATAATAATTTATATCACGTACTTAGTCGACCGACAAACAAAATTTAAAAAGGATAAATAACAATATATGCAATTAAAAATATATACAATTTTTTTTTAACGTAACCCAACAATAAATCTTTCAACACAGTTTCGAACACCTTGCTTTTTGAACAATTCAGTTTACAAATGCCATATTTGCCCCGGTTGCCATATGATAACTCGCTTGCCAAATGAACTACTTGGCAAGAGCTGGACACAAATTAGAAAGACATTGACAGTCAACTCCATATATTTTTGAGTTAAAAAAAGTTGACAACCCAACCAATCAATGACGGGACTACCGATTCAGAAGTTAGTGGTGCCAAGATTGCCTAATGTCATTAGATGTCACAACATAAAACATTACAACATTAGATGTTGTTATTCAAATTAGATTTCAGTGGGTAAGATACTACTACCATTTTTTTGTGCACATCTTAATTGAATTTCAATAAAATTAATTATTAAAAACTTCATTAATTAACATTTGCATAATATAAATGACATCCAAAAGTTTATATTTAATGGTGCTAACTCAACTTAAATAACAAAAATTTATTTATATATTAATAAATATTTAATTTAATATTTATTAATACTAGATAGCCAGTTAATTAAAACTGAAAATAAAGTAATAATTAAAACTCTAGTTTTTTATATTGAAACTGAAACTAAAATTTAAAATAAGATCAAAATTAATTAATTAATTAAAATTAAAATCAAAGAAATTGAAACAGAATATTTTGGAAAGTGTGGATAAAGTACTTGTCTGTCTTTAGTAATTTGCTTAGATTTCATCCAGGCAGAATTAAATCTCTATTTATAGCACTTTGTAAAGTAATGGTTTCAGTTTTGGTTGGCAATGACAGAACATTTTTCTTTTAATACTCATATACATATAAAATGAAAATGGATATACAGTTAATAATATATTGCATTTGTAGGCATTGTTTTATGCATGAAATACAGCAAAAATAGTAAAAACAGGCTTTGTTATGGGGGTCGGGAACAAATTAATCCACTGGAATATGTGAATGGAATAAATGGTGGCTTCAAAAAACATTTTTTGGACAGACTATGTCTGTTTTGATTAAACCATTTTATATTGTTTCTTATAAGAAAATTTATTTTGGTTTGAGAACAAATCTGTTTTTGAACAACTTTTAAAAATGAATTATGTTCAAAACCAGAGGTTTGACTGTACTACAACTGAATTTATAAATGCAATTGTTAACAAAATGTTTCAATTTACTATGTACATAATACATTTGAACACAATATACAAGAAAAAGTAAACTCAGTCTTAAATTAATAACACTTTCAAAAATGGTCAAGCTTTCTTTGTTTTTTGATAGATTTGTCATACTGCACCAGTATGTGACATTGTCTCCTACCAAATCATCAATTGCCTGAAATAATTGTGAGTCATTCTAAGAATTAGCTCACACCTAACAGTGAATAGTGAAAATAAATGAAAAATCAGAAAGTGATTTTTATTTGCTTAGCAAAGTTGGTTCACACTACAAAATGCAGAAAGTAAAAATTTTCAACATGTTGGACTGATGGAAGGATTTGCTAAATGGGAAAATTCATCACAAATACAATTATATGTTATGGATTATTTGCTCTAGTTTTTGTATTTTCTGGTGATTCACTGTAAGTGTGAACTAATCTTAACAGAATACATAATTTACTTTTTCATTTTTGAATAGTCACTATAAATTTTTGCATTATAAAGTGAATAATGAATAAGAGAAAAAAAGGGCTGCAGAATACTTAAAAATTTAATGTATAAATGTAAAATTGTATAAATAAAAACATGTGAAATGTTTTATAATGGAAAACGTATTCATATATGCAGAAAATTTTTAATGTATAATTGCAAAACGTGTACAATCAAAAAACACATATACTGGGTTCAACTGTAGTTATATCAAATAACACAATACAGTAGATTAAGGAGAGACTGCATGCGTACAAAATAAATATTAGTCACCATATTTTCTAAAGTATAAGATGCAATTTATTCTTAAAAATTTTTCTCAAAATCAGAGTGCATCTTATAAACAGCCGCTTGAAATTTCAAAAGTGTGTAAATAGGTTAAAATCTCATGGAATGCAAGAAAACTGGAAATTATTATTAAGTCATTAAGAAGTATGACATTAGTAAAACTCCTGATGGTACTGAAAATGATTTACTGTTTGAAGAAAGAAATGACTATGATTCAAATATGGAAGAGATTTACAGAAGATAATTTATCCAGCTCTGAAGATAAAAAAAGAGATTAAACAGCTGTTGTAATCCTATATTTATTCCTTGATACTCAAATTTTTCAAATTTCAGCCCAACAAATTTAGAGTATTTATATAAAAAAAATTGTAGAGCTATAATTTCCATTGTTGTCCATCAGTCCATCTTTTCTTAATCTTGAGAACGGAGTTAGATAGATGAAAGATGAGACCAGGTAAGAAAATCTTAGAAGGAGGCTCCAATTAACTATATATGCAAACTGGAACTTCTGATGCAAACTGGAAGTTCTTTCAATTTAAAATTTTTTCCCTGAAAATAGTTAATAGATGACCAGATGACTGCATTGCTAATGGAAAAGTATGATGTATAGAGGCAAGACACTACTAATTTGAGGTGGAGGGCATATGTTTTAAATTAAATAAATGAAAAATATGATTAAAAATTGCAGCCTGGCATTGTGATAATGTCACAATAAATAATTGCTTATTCTCAATCAATGTTTGATGAGATGTTATATTTATTTTTGTGACTGCAGGGTCGGCACCTCTTAGCGCCCTGTCAGGATGACACCACTGTGTCTTGTAACAGACACAGAAAACTTTTATTGGCCGTTACTTTTAGTTACGCGAACGGTCGCATTGTGGACTTTTAGTTCCAGGATGGAGGCGTAAAGAGAGAATCAGAGAAATTACATTTTACATAATCTATACATAATGCTCGTTTATTATTTGAATTAAGCTATATACAATCGATTCAGTTAACATATCTACTTCCTTCTCGATTACCTGTATTCATGAGAGAGAGAGCTCACATGTACTTTGCGTGAGGATAAATACCTTGATTTAAGTTGTCGAATAGTCGTTTAGTTTTCGAGTTGATGTGGCACAAAGTTCTTTCAAACGTTGAAAGTTTGGTTCTAGGTGTCACAAAGTTCTTCCGAACATTGATAGTTTGGTTCGATGTGGCACAAAGTTCTTTCGAACGGTGGCGATTAGAATAGTAGCGGCTAATCCGTTTACATAATCCACAGTTCACACCAAACTCTGGAGACTGACTCTTACGCATCGACCCCTCCCTTCTATAAAGGGGGTATCGTTGGGTTTTTTCCCCTGCCTTATTAGGACTGTTTTTTCACCACTGACCAATAGAGGTTTTCTTTTGTCTTTTCGTAGATTCTGGGTGACACATTCAATGTATCATCCTTTAACCCGGAACTAAGTTCGTGGGAAAACAATTTAATGTTATTTTTAAATGTTGAGTTGTTGTTTATTTCTCAACTGTTCCTCTTATGAGAAAAAAAATTATTTAACAATTTATTCCAATAAATTCGGCTTTCACATTTTTGACAATTTAAAATTTTTCGATAAAATGATTTTCTTAAAATAGGCTCCTAAAAAATGACTGTCTTATATGCTGGCAAAAGTGTTATATACAATATACTATTTAATTTTTTAATTCTCTCAAATGGGAGGAGTTAAACCATGTGCATGGCCTTGGAGGAATGCAGGGAAAGGCATCAGAAAAAGAAAAATATAATAAAAAATCAAACTATGTTGAGGAGACTCATTTAAAGTGAGGACCTCATATAATTGAGATAACCTAAGTGAAAAAGAATAGAGAGAACATTTTAAGATGAAAGCTTTTGAATCAAAATTCATTTATTTTCAAGATTATTTTCTAATATGCTGAGAACTGTATGAAAATGTTTGGTTTTCAATTACTTTATTATTCAATAACATATAAACACTTTTAAACATCTTAAAATTCTACAAAAAATCAAAATGAAAAACTAAATTTTATTTTAATATAAATTTTGATTTATATTAAAATAAAATTAAAATTTCATCTGATGAATGCTTAAGCCTGAATTTTTGTCAAAGTATTAAATTATTTATTAATCTACTTAAGATAAAAAGTAACTACAACAATGCCTTAAATTCTGTCAAAAACTTGTTAACAGTTTTTTGAGGCATTGCTCTTTGACATTAATTAATATGTAGTTTTACAAATAAAAAAACAAAAATATAAAATATTACTTTAAGAATACAAGAATCTATTAATTCTTTAGCATGAATTTCTTGTCCCTGTCCCATAGATATTGCTTGACATTCAATATTTTTCTGTTTGGCAAGATTTTGAATAAGATTAGTCGGATCATATCCTGTTGACAGAAGACATATCAGTGGAGTTTTCTGTCTGCTTTCATGCCACATATTTTCCAAATTCAACAGTATCGGTTCTGAGTATCTTTTACCGAGAGCTTTGGTTATATATTTTCTTGCTTCAAATAAAGTACGATCTGGACACCAGCATCTAATATTTTAAGAAATATCATAGGTAAAAAAATAGAAACAGTTGCATTTACTAAATTATTTTTTATTTAAAAAATATTTTAATATAAAATTAAATAATTCTCTTTTTGTAAAATGAAATGCATTTATTTTTCATTTATGCTTTCATTCTTTCTTATTAACATAAAATAAGAAATTTTATCATATGTGGCATGGGGAACCAATGGTCCTCCACAACTTTTTCAATTGCCAAGGTCACTATGATGTGTTATTTAACTCAGGCATTGCCTGAGGATGATAGGTTCAGATGGTACAAAACTTGAAAATTCAAAGATATATATATATATATATATATACCCAGTCAATTAAAAAGTTTAGAATAATTTAAATCCATCATAAAGTGCCAACTCTTAAATGGCAATAGCTGGATAAAATAAAAAATTAAAATTAAATAAGGTATATTTAAAGTGGTCTTTTAGCTATATTTTCATCTAAAAATATTAACTTCTAAATATTACTTTTTATTGAAATAAATACTTTACACATGGACTTCACGAGAAAATGACACGACTGACTTGTGTACGGTTTGTTTACATAAAAAAAAAAAACATTAACTTTTCTGCTATGCGACAGAGGGAGCCTTGTCATATTTTTTCTTTTTATTACAACTCTTAATAAAGGGTTGGAGTCATAATGTTTTACTTAGTGAATGACATTCAAAAAAGTTTAGAAATTATGACTAACACCTTTTTAGGAATTAATAATTTGTAACACATTATTATACTGAAATAAAATATTTGTTTTAAAATGTATAAAGATGTTTTTTTTAAAACACTAATTTTTACTGACGTGACAAAACAGCATTTGCCTACAGGTTGCATGTATTCTTATGGCAGCCCTACCAATGGCCCTCATACTATCATAAGTCTTAAATGTATTTTCATCATAAATAATTGGTAATAAGTCAATGTGTCAAATGTGAACAAAAGTCAAAAAGCTATAACTGATTAACTGGGAGATTAACAATCCATATACTAATCAGGTTTGTTTATGATTATTGAATTTCATTTATGCATATACAGTAATACTTCGACTTACGCAAACCCAGAGTTACGCGATTTTCAAATCTCGTCGCTTTGTCTTTTGTTTGAGCGCCACGCAACTCTCGATTACTCCCCCCCACACTATTGTTCAGCTTACATGTTTGGACGTGTCGCACGGAATCGACACATAGCTACAATTTATTTTGTGTTATTTATTTCTGTGTTTGTTATATCTACAGAGACTCGAGAGACTCTATGTGATGATTTCTTGTAACCGTGAACGAATCAAAAGACGAGATAAGATTAATGAGAACATTTATTAGCTTACATATATCCAACTTGGATTTTACACAAATTGCGAAATTATATCCAGACTTATGCAGTTATTGCTTGGTCCCACCTATCTCATAAGTTCATGGTATTACTGTATATAAAATCAAGAGTTTTTAGCATTTTGGCCTGACTTCCCATAAAAATGGTGTTGTATGTCCATTCCATTTACTATAGAAAAGTTACCTACTCCTGATCTAAGGTCTTATATAAAATTAATTCATATGTCTCTATGTCCTTTTTTAATAATTTGTTAAATGTTTGTCTACGAGGACTAAGCCTATTAATAAGATGTATTGCACTGATGTTTTGGTTGTTGCAAACCGAGGAAAAAACTTATTCAAAGAAACAATCAATCTTTATTTTAACCTTGTATTATGCCTACAGGCATAATACAAGAGTAGAAAAAAGTAGAACTTATTGTAGAAAAGAAACTTATTTTTACCTTGTATTATGCCTAATACAAGGTAAAAATAAGTTTCTTTTCTACAATAAGTTAAAATAATATGACATATGAATTATTTTATTGGGATTGTTAATTGTCACACTAAATTTCTACATTCATAGAATATTATTAGTGTGTGGCTGTACACCTTTTTATTCCGTATAGTTTTAAGTTTAATTTATATTCTATTTCTATAAATTTATCCTTCCTTCCAATTTTCTTTATTCCTTTGTCTCAAACTTCTGAGAAATGAGACTTACCCCTAGCCCACCAGGATATAGGGGATAAACAATAGAGGGCGACGAAGCTGGAGGGAAAAACAGAGAAATTCGAGTGGACATTCTTGCACCAGACACAAAAGGAGACGAACATGTAACAGCAAGGCTCATGAATTGGAAATTGGCAAGCACTGCAGAAGAGAGTCTTAAAGAGCAGATTCAGAAGAAAATCCGATCAATAGATCTGGAAGCAAACCCTAAGAAAAAGCCATTTTAAAAGAGGAGAACTTACGAATATTGGAAGTTGAGACAAAGAACTGCGTAGAATCTTTGCTGAAAAATTGGGTACCCATCTGTCCTATGACCCTTCTTACTTCCCTTTCTTTCTATCCTCTTTCTATTAGATTTAAGTTCGATTAAGATTCACGTGCATTAGTTAAGTATTATTGTTGGGCGGTAGTTGTAACAGGACTTAACTACACAGATTACTGTTATGATACGAACACCAAGGATAATTGGAAGTGTGTAAAGGAACAGTGGGAATCCATAAAGAATTTGTAAATATTTATCTCCATTGCGAAATTAAATTTGTTTTAATTGATTAACATGTATGTATGTTTTTCTTTTTGCATTGTACCTGTTACAAGAGAACTGTCTCTGTGCAATTTCATTGACAAATACACATAAAAGTCATTGTAATATAAACTTTTAATTTTGAATTTTCAAAAATTTGTGAGGCTCTGGACAGGTCCGAACCCTCACTAAAATTTGCGTTAAAACAATTTTATTTTATAAAAATAGTAGTAAAAGAAAAAAAATAGTAGTTAGAAATAGAATTTTTATATGAAAACGTGCTAACTTTAAACAATAACTTTATATGAAAACGTGACGCTAACTTTTAAACAATAGAAAAATGTAAGTCCGTTGACCATCTCCAGTTGGAGATCGAATTAAACTTCGATTTTGACCTCTCCCGTGCCCCAAAAGGTTTCAAATTGTCATCAGGTGACAAGGAGAGACCAATCAGAAAGTGGAACCGGAGGAAAATGGATAAAACCCCGGACATTCAAGGACACAACAGCTTCTTCTCCCAAAAGTTCCAAGTGATGGATCTATTGTAGTGTGTGTGTCTCGCGCCCATCTTCATCTCCATCTCCTGACCTCGGATTGACATCTTTCCATCAATGGAAGTCAACCATATCGTTCCGAAGTCATTGAAATGTTGATGGAATTGTTCATTCGCGAACAAGGGACACTCTTTCAAAATGGGACTATCTTGGAAAGGAGAGGAAGACCCAGAGGTCACTGCCGCCAAAGAACCTCCAAGATTGCAGAAATCTTGTAAGCTTCTTTCATGTTTAATAAGCGGGTTGTGTTGTTGTAAAAGAGGCATCTATCTCTGAGTCAGAGATAGATGACTCAACTGCTCCCACATGTCGTTGATTGTTACCGCTCGGCAGTCCAGATGGCAATGGAGACGATGATGATATATATCATATATAATCGTTAACATTTTATTTATTTTTTTAAATTTCTCTCCCCTTGGCCCCCACACATTTAAAAAATAAATAATTGTAATTTAAAGTCCAAGATATGATAAGTTAATTAATCTGCATTTCAAAATGAGATCATTACTTTAAATGCAAAATTTTAAAATTTTGAATTTTATATCATGCAAGAGGCATTATACAGAGGCATAATTCTATACAATACCAATCTTCAAACTTTGTGATAATATTGTCCATTCCATTGAAAATGCAAAAGAAAGCATACAAAATTAGACACAAAATAAATTAGACACTTTATTTTGGCTAATTTTGTATGCTTTCTTTTGCATTTTCATATCTTAAATTTTAACTTAGAAAAATGTGATCTCAAAACTACTTCAACTTATAGAAACACAAAATACATTAAGTTTATGGGAATTAAGTAGAAACAAATATAAAATTTGAGTTCACAGAATTTTGAGTTACAAAAGTTTGGCTTATTGAGAGTCTATCATATTGGTTTTTTATACAGTTTAAGTGTTACTAAACCTAATAGAATCACAATATAAAGTTTACAATATTTCAGAAGTGTAAACCTTCACTATGAAAATAAAAATGAATGCAAATACAAAAACTATTAAATAATACTAATGATGGGGATGATATTTATCAATATATAAGTTTTGACTTATTTGTTACATCAAGTTCATTACCTTATTAATAGTAATTTTCTAAATGTATCTAATGATTTAGAATATCCATCAGGTATTTCTTCTTCTTCGGGTGCATTTTTTTCAAACCAATTCTTCCAAGATCTGTCATTGAGTTTTATCTGAAGAAAATGAAAAGAAATCAAATTCAATATTACTACAGAAAATAATATTAATAGAGAAACATACAAAACATACTTTAACTAAAATCTCTTGAAAATGTTGTAATTTACTTAATTCCACAAGATTTAACCAAGTCAGATTGGAGATCCAATCCTTTGGCTTTGGAGTTACAGTATTTAAATCCAATGCTGCACCACCTAATAAAATTAAAAAATACTAATTATTCTTATATTAATGACTAAATAATCACAAAAGATTGAAAACAAAATTAAACTGTGTTCTTTGATAATACTCTTGAACTTCCTAAAAGCATTTATATGTATAACACCTACATTCTAAAAATATAATTAGCAAATATATTGAAAAATCTTCATGAAATAAATTTATTTAATAAAAATTTTTAATATATTTTCAATATATTCAATAAAAAGTAAATAAATAAATAAATTTATTTATTTACTTTTTAATGAAAATTATATATATATATATATAAGCAGATGAGCCTGGAATTGCTCAAGCAAAAAGTAACTGCAGCAAAAATTAAGATTATTAGATAATAATGTACTAGATATGTTGACTAGCTTGCTTAAATAATGTTGCCCATATTTGTGGATTTCAATAGTAGTAGTGTTGCACAGTGTTAAGGCCAAGATGTAAAGGTTCTCCCAAATAAATAATTCATACCAATTGTTACACCATTTGAGTAATTTTGTTTGGGTCCAGAGTGGCTGATAATCTTGCTCAAGCACTTTTTTAGCTAATTCGATTGACAGTCTGTTGTTTCTGATATCATCCTGATGTCCTAGGATGCGAGAAATTAACTTTCTGGCCGTGTAGCTAGTTTCTTCTGATAAATCATGTTTTAGTGGAATTTGATAGACCTAGATTTTTCATTCATTTAAAACTATCCCTATTGTTACATAATAGTCTTCGTAATGTTAGTTGTGTGGTTAACGGTAATATAAAATCATTCATTCTAAAGAGATGTACTATTTTTAGAGAAACAGGGCCTAAAAACGGAATCGGGGATGTGCTATTTTTAGTTCCTTTTTATTGTGAAGAAAAGACTGTGGAAAAAGCTTATTTTTAACACAATTTTGGAGAAAACAGAATTTAGATTGAGAATAACCAGCTTTTTGCATAGCACTACTAATGAGTTGCAATTCTTCTTCTACTAGCACTTGGTTAGAAAATAGGAGGTAAGCTCTCCTAATGAGAGAAGTTATGGCAGAGTTCACATAGTTTATTGGTTGGAAGGCTGTTTCTGGGATAATTTGTGATGCATTATTGTTTTTATGATGTACAGAGAATAGGAGCTCAGAGATATATGGATTTCTAGATCTAAGAAAGAGATTTTGGCATTTTGTTCTTCCTTTATCGTGAAGTTGATAGAAGGATAAATAGAGGCTAATGCTTGAATAAATTGTTTTAGATGTTCAATAGAGCCTTCCCACATGAGTAGTATTATGTCAACATACCGTAAATACATAATTGGGTATTGGATGGTCAAGGGGGTATTGAAAATTCGATGTTCAATGTTACACATAATGAGCTCTGCCAACATAGATGATAGAGGGGAACCCATTAGCACTCACTGTGTTTGTTTATATATTGTGCCATTAAATTGAAAATATTTGTTTTCAGTTATAAGAAAGAGGGCTTCACGTAAATGTATTATGTTGGGTAGCCCGAGCTGAGCAGCAGCGCATTTGCAAGCATGATGGCCTCGAAATATGGTACCAATGGATACAAGGATTTGATGTCAACTTTGTACAATTTGTATGAATTAATGGGGAGGTATATACACACATATATATAAATTATATGTTATGCTAAAATTTCCACATTTAGGGCTTTTACCAAGAGACAAAGAGATAATAAATATCTGGAATTATTGATTGGCTCAGATAGTTTTTAATCCAAAACAAAAACATCTGACAAGTGAGATGTAAAAAATTATGATAATTTGGATGTAATTAAATTTTATTTCTTACGAGTTTTCCTTTGGTAAAGATAAGCTTGGCACTTAAAAGCAAAATATAAAAACAATTAATACAGATGAAAATCTTCTGGGCACGACTTTGAAATGTCAAACATTGATATCAATTGTTTTTTGGTTAATGATTGTGTTATTATATCAACACCTAAGAAATGACATACTGTATGGTTCAGTTGGTCCTCGGCAACATAATAGCTGACAAAATGCTTTCAATGTGTTGTTAATAAAATCTTTATAAAAAGTTTTAATTTGCATAAATTTGAATATTATTATTCTGAATAGCATTTTGAAAGAAATCATTTGTTTCAAAGAAATTTTATTTATAGAAGTATAAAATTAAGCAATAAAAGTAAAATAGCATTATGGGGGAACCTGTGAACTTTGACCTATTGACAAAGAATTTTCGCCAGCACCTTACTGATAATGAGAGAGGCTCAAGTTTAAAATATGAGCTTTCTAGACCCAGTAGTTTTTTTCTCTAAGAGTATCTGCAGTACTACACAAAGAAAAGAAAATACAGCTATTTTGTGATTTTTGTACTTTTCAATCACTTATATTTTGTCAACTCCTTTATAGAATAATCTGAAATTTTGTACACTACCTAGGAAAAGTATTTTTTGAATGAGATGTTCAGACTTACTATAGGCATTTGGAAGTGAAGAAATCAACTTTGAAATTGACAACTGTGACTGTTGTATACACTGTCAGTCAATGATTTTTTTGCTTGGTGCAAAGTCACTGCCATGACTCTCAATAATGACATAGGCTATATTGTATGATAAAGTATTTGTGATGTTTTACAAATTTTTTAAAACACCTAGATTTGAAGATAATGTTCATTAATTAATGTAAAGATCACACTAAAAAACAAAACATTTAAAAAATTTTGTTTACTACAATATATTTTAATTTTCATTTGTGTGGCTTTAGTTTTAGCCTCCAGGTTTAATAAATCTAGTTGCCATTGGTGAGCAAACACCACTGTGTGTCAAGCCCATGTTATAATAAACACTAGATCATAGTAGAATAGAGAAATGTTTATGGTTTTAAACAAATTTATATGAATGACACTTCTTGTAATGATAGAGAAAAGTTACTTGTTTTCAACAAGCTTGACCTATTAAGATATTTAGAATTGCAGAACAAAGATGATTTGCACAAACTTTTTTCTGTTGAACACTTTTTAAAATAATTGCACTTTTGAATCCTGCCTCCAACAAAAGACAATTTGCTAACTACTTCCTATACACTAACTTTTTTCCCCACCTTTTTTGATGCTAATAAGATTTTGTTTGCACAATATAAATTTGTTCCTAGTGTTTAATAATTTTAGTTTTCCAACTTTAGTGCTAAGTTAATAAAATTCATCATCCTTAATATTTATGACCACAGCTATTACACAGGTCTGCAAGTAAAAATCTACATATGAGTTTTATACATTTTCTTACAGATTTCAACTTGGTAAAAACGAAAAAAATACCAAAAAAATTTCATCTTGTCAATTTTTTTTGTTATAGTCAAGTTTTTGTTTGTATTTTGCGTAAAATTCCTAGTTAACTTAAAATTTAGTATTCTTGTTTTTTATTTAAAAAACGGCCTTAAAACGAAGACTTCTCACATTAATTCTATCAATTATAGCTGGACTTGGTAATAAATAAATAAAAATGTTAATGGTTGAAGAGCGTAGTGGTAGGGGGAGGTGGGTTAAGTAGTTTTAGTGTTAGGAGGATGGTTGCATGATCATATAGAAACAAGTTAAAAGTTGATAGTGAGTAATATTATTGGTGAGGTTGAGTCTGTTTCGACATGTTATCTGGAATACCAGGTATAAATATAAACAACCTGCTGTTGGATTAGATCATGTTTCAACAAGCTAAATAAATTCAGTATCTCGCTGCCATCTAATGCCACACTCAGTTTATATCCAGCATTTGAACACTATTGTGCTTGTATTTTTATTTCTGGAATATGGCTTGCAGAGGTTGTGTAATTTCTCCCAACAGCTTCTGTTATGTTTGTGGTGAATACACAGTGAAAAGCCGATAAAGAAACATAAGTGAGTTTGTGAAGAAAGTTTAATTTGCATATTTCAAATTGAAACTTGGAGATCAAGACAAAGCAGATTTTTGAAAACAATGGGAGAAAAGGAAAAAGAAGCATGGGACTCTTTCAAGAATGTAGTGTGTAAGTTTTTGGAGAATACTAAGGACCCTGACTACAAACCATTGTACAACGCATGCTGGCAGTAGCATATGAAGCTCGAGGATGCAAGATGAGCTTAAAAGTTCATTTCTTACACTCCCATATTGACTATTTTCCCGAAAACTTGGGAGCCTACAATGAAGAACAGGGTGAAAGATTTCACCAGGATGTCTGTGATATCAAGAGACATTACCAAGGAAAATGGGATGTCAATATGTTAGCTGACTACTGTTAGATGCTGAATCGAGAAACCAGAGAAGGAAATCGGAAACAAGTTTGGAAAAGCATAAAAAAAAAAAAAGGTTTCTTAAGAAAAAAGAGTAGAACTAAAATTGTGTATAAATATCAGAAACAATTTGTTGATTAGTTGTAAGAAAATATAATATATTTAGTTCGTTGTAATAAATAAGACTTTTATCAAAAATTTGTTTTTATTTTGCAAAAAACCTTTACATGATGGGATGTAACAGAAGTTATTTTTAGAATCTGTGCTCTTTAAAACATATAATTCAGCAAAAATATTCCATGCAGCTGGAAAAAAAACTTTTTTTGCAGACCTGTGTTATTGATTTTGCATTGATCTTTGCTCAGTCTGTATCCAGTCCTTTGATTCTTACCTTCTGTTCAACTGAAGATTTTGGAATTTTGTTATAAGAGCCTGTTTTAATTTTCTTTGCTTGAATTTCAAGGCCTTCTTTTTGCATTTTTTTGAAACAGCATCACTTTTTCAGCTCAGTTAGAAATTGTCAGTCACATCACAGATTCTCAGGAGATAATGTGGATCTGTTGTCTCAGTTTCAACTAATGTCAAATGCTGCATCCCTGCTGCTTTGTTGTTACTTCCACTGTATTTTCTTGCTGATCTGCAGTTTTGTTCTCTGCTCCAATTGTATTTTCTAGCTGATTCTTTCATTTCAAGCATTTAATACTTTTTCCAAATCATCTTCAGTGTCTATCTTGTTTACTAAATCATATGAAACAATTAAGCTGGCAAAACAAATTTTAATTGGAACACCAAACACAATTTCATATGGCAAATGTTTGATACTGTGCCACTGCAATAATATTGGCTATGTTTTGGGCTTCTCAAATATTAATATTTTTTTTCTTCTTCATTCTTGTGTTTGAACTGGCAACACTGACGCGATATGGGAGAAGTACTTAAGGGAGCACCAGGGTTGGAACATGGCTTTTTCCCCTAGTGTCAGGGAAGGTCAAGTGGAGAGTTTTATCTGTGCAATGGTTTTAAGACTGTGTGTAATGATTAACTAGAGGATAAGGATGGAATCTGTGTCCATTGAAGACAATAATCACGGAACTTTAAATTAAATGTGATAAAATGATTAACCTACTAGCGATCGAGATCTCCAGAGGAATATCTGTGAATTTTGTGTGTAAATTTTGATGACGAACTTTGTGATAAACCTTTGTGCAGTGTATTCAGCGTCCGAGTTTGTTTTTGTAACATGGAACATTCCAGGTATAACTATACCTCATAAACTTTTTCTATGTATATATGTGTAGATATTGGTTGTATATAAATTTAATTATAAATACTCTCATTCTGTTTGTCTTTCATATCACGTGGTGATCACACTACCTCTTCCACACAATACCACGGTTTATTGTGAATCCCACAATATCCTCATGATAAACTCTATTCTTTATTTTTGTACAAACTTCAAGCCTTCAGATCATTTTAAGGTTTAATTTGTTTCTACTAAGTTGAAAACATTTTCGATTTACTAGTTTGCATGTTCAACTGATCTCTGAGATTGGCTATGCCACGGTTTTCTATGAACTATCATTTTGCATCAATCCACTTGTCACATAAACATTGGATAACTTGGTTACAAAACTTTCAACCATTATCAGAATGAAAAATATTAGGTGAACCAAAAATTGTGAAAATATTCAAAAGATGATATGCTGTAGTCGTACGCCATATGTTGTATTTATTAAGTTAAGTTAGTTTAGTTATTTCCTGCTATCCTTTGTTCTATTATTCTATCCCCTTCTAGAACTTTCCTATTTTAATCCCTGTCCCTTGGGTGGGATGACCACTTCCGGGGAACGGAGGAACAAAAGAGGTTCGAATTACCCTGAGGACAAGGAGGACAAGACAAAGGCATTCGAGGACGGTACTGCAAGGAGTACAGACGTGGAGAGTAAACGCTCGAAGATCGCTTAAGACTAACGGAGATATTGGAAGGACAGGAAGAAAGAAGTTCTCATCCGGAAATAGCGCCATAAGAAGTAAGGAAAGGAAGGATAATACAGAAGGAGGCGACAACAATTCAAATCAGACAGATTCATCGTGTGTCATCCCACCCAACAACAAAGAATCGTTCGAACACACCGACAAAAAATCCTGGGTATTTCATTCTCTATCATTTATATATTCTCCCTTCATTCTTCTACTTTTATTTCTCCCTTCCACTAGTGTTAAGTTAGAATATAAGATTAGTTTGTAGATCGGGCTCTCTTTATTATCGCTGTCGGGAACGGAACTATATGTTTTAATTTTATAGTGTCTTAGTATTGATCTTGTATGCCGTTTGTGCATTGTGACGTTGGAAATCCACAATAAATAATTTTCGTGCAAAATTTGTTTCGTTGTATAACTTATTTTTGTTCACATTCTTACAATGCAACTTACTTGGCCCTTTTTTGATTTTAATGCTTGGAGAAAACAAATTTTGTCAAATTATTCTGGTTTACCAATACAAACTTCAACACATTGTCTGGATTAGCTTGCATATCAACTAAGTCAATCTTGCATCATGAATTTATGTCATTGTGTAGTTTTACCAAAATACCTTTTTTCAATGTTTTCTGTTTCTTTTGACAAGATTCACATAATCTTAAATAAGTAACATTCAAGATTTAATAATCACATTCTTATACTTGTGCTTCAGTTCTATAAACATCAGAGTACTTCTACTATAACCAATAGCAATGTGGGCTTCATGCATCACATTGATCAGTTCATCAATACATATATAGTAGGAAATTTCTTTTTCATCAGACTATAGTTATCTATAAGACTATATCAGACATCATCGATACTGTTAGTTTCTCTTCACCTCCAATGTTCAGAATATCATATTTTTTCATACATCTACTGTGAACAGAATTTTTACTGATCATGTTTTTTGCATCTTTCATTTCAGTTAAGTGTTATATTGTTCCTTAGTTAAGCAAAAATGTTGTATGTTTTCCTATTCACTAAATCAGTTAAAAGAAAAAGAAAAAAAAATGCAAAATTTTTTATATTTTTGGATATTTCAAGCTCCCTGCATCCAAAAGTGTAAAAAATCTTGAAAGCATCATTTTTGGTAATATGTTATAAAATGAATCTACTAATCCTGACAGGCACAACATGTAATTTGAATACTATGATGGCAAAATTTCAACAAATAATAAAGGGATTGTTTAAAAATGTGAGTTGTTTAAAATTAACATTTATAAGTTAAATTAATACATTTAATTTTTACTGAATTTGACTTTTTAAAATTTTAATCATAGTATTTGAATAATCATAAATTGCAATAAAAATTTTTTAAATTTAAAAATATTTGGACAATTTACCAGACAAGTATAAGAAAAATTAAAAATATATTTGAAACATTAAATACCTCTAACAAATATTGAAAATTCTTCTTTACTGATTCTTCCTTGTTCAACGTCAATTTTTAGAGCAAGCAACAGAGTAAATAAAAATTTGTGATTTTCATACAAACCACGACATACATATCGGTAAACTTCAAATGTAAGAAATTCAATAATATTCTTTATGCGTATTCCAGTTATAAGTGATTGCTCAGAACTGTTAAGAATTAAATTTAAAATTAAAATAAATATCTTAATATTTATTACAATTATTATATGAGCCGCTCGCTTGCCAAATTGATTAACTCCACAAAACAAAAAGTATAAAATTTGATAATATAAATTACTTTTTAAAATTTCTTTTAAACTTTTAATTTAAATAAACATTGTAGAATGTGTTTTTTATATCATTACATTAAAGCTATGCTTCAATATAATGATATATAAAATTAGCTATGCAAAAAATGTAAAAATAATAACAATTAAGGATTTAAAAATGGAGTTAATCGATTTGGCTTATATATTATTTAACTGTGGGGATGCTAAAAACAAACAAAATCTTTAGTATTTTATTCAGAAGTCAGAAAGAGAAAGAATATCAACATCTTATAAATCATTATAGTAAGTCTAGGGTGTTGAGATTTCTAAATAAGACCATATCTCTATTATTTATCATTTAATTGTAATTGTTGAACAACCACAATTAAATGATAAATGTTATTTTGATTCAATGAAAAAAACCACTGCTGTGCCATGTTTATACATGGCACAGCAATGGTTTTTAAAACTGGCCCCATAAAAGTAAAAAAAATCTAATTGTCAACCTGCAGACCTGCAGTGTCAATGGGAAAGTTACTTGTGCAATATAGAAAATATATTTTGGCAGGTAAGTTCAGAAACATCTGTTCTGTTTTGCACATTGATGTGTAGGACTTTAATGGGCAACTTTTTAAGACCTTATTATCTGAATTTCAGTTGAGATTTTTTCTACTTTTGGCTTATTTTGTCCCAAGAACAACTATCCCATTGACAATGTGGGTTGTTAACTATACAATTTTTCAAGATACAATTTGTTTTTAAAATGCTAGTTTAAGGCTAATTTTACGCTTGATGCAACAGCAGCCTTTGTGATTAAAACAAAATGACATTTGAATGACCACAATTGAATGATAAATAATGGAGATATGATTGTGTTTGGAAATTCTAGATATCTTGTATATTTAAAAATTAAAAACATTAAGTATATGTTTTTATAGAGTTGAAATACAATTTACGTTGTTGATAAATATAATATTGATATGTACAGTACATCTGTGACAATCGCTCATCATATTAGGTACATAAATGAAATTGTCAGTTATAAATCCTTTGTTTGTACGGTTCTAGGATGTTCCATTGCCCAATTTTGCCTGGAAGGGCAATAAACCCAATGAGGGAGCAGAGAGGTTGTAGATTGGAACAGACTCTCTTTTCAGTGCCATCACAGGAGAAATACAAAGTAGATCAGTGACAAAGATATTGTGCAAGGGAAGAACTATGAGAGTGAACAGGCTCTGTTCCAATTGATGAGACAACTAGGATGAAGCAGTGACTATTTAAAATGGAGTTTACAGGATCATCATCTACTATAGTGTCTTCTCTTCCCCTTTGACTGTGTACTGATGGTAGAATGTTTTTGTGTAAGAAAGAAAATTTGCAAATTAAACTAATATGGTATTTGTCATAACCAGAGAATTTGAATGATTGTAAAAGGAAACTGAATATTTGTATTTTATGAATATTCTCTGATTATAGTTTATATTGTATTTGATGTTAACTGAAGTTTGAGTTAAGAAAATAAACTCTTATACATCATATTGTGTTGTGGAAATTTTGTAAAGATTTCCAATTACATAATAAAAGATTGGTAATTTGTTAATCCTCAGAGAACAGTTATTCATAGTGACTTAATTTTACTCTCCTCTTTCTAGTACTGACCTTCCATTAAACAAGTTGTGCAGTCTTTTCTGTAATCTTTATTCTTTTGCTCTCACAATCAGTTCTATGAGTTTAACCAGTTTTATCATAATTTCCAACAAGCACATCAAGTCTAAAAGATAGCATATTTTCCATCCACATATGAAAATTTTTTCATACATAGATTAAATAATTAAAAAACATGAAACTAATATCATTTACACAAAGATCTCAAGTATCTATATAGTCATAGGAGAATCTATTAGAGAAAATAATATACAAAATTAACTTAACAGAAGCTAATTTTTGTTTAAAAAACAGTATTGATTCTGATGAGAAAACCAAATCACTATTATACCTAGTAAAATTAATAAATAATCCACAAGTGGCTGAAAATTGCAAAAAAAAAAAAAAAAAAAATGAAAAAATAAAGAATAATTTTGAGGAATTAAGTATTTAGAATAATTAACATTTTTAATCAAAATTATTAAATTGCTTACTTTTTCATAGATCTGTCAAATATTTCTAAAAATTGCAGAAGAGAAGTCTGATACATGATATTTACCATACTCATGTCACATATCAAAAAGTATAAAATACTTCCTCTTGTTGCAACTGAAAGAAAAAAAAAACATTAACAAAATATGAAATTATATCATAATGATGTATTAACAATATAATAAATACAACATTTTATTTAATAAAAAAATAACTGTTTTAATTCTGAATGTTTAAGAAATAAAATTCTTGATTTAATTAAATCAGAGACTGTATTAAAGGGCTAGTGAAAAGAACTGTATGATAAAAATACTTATACTTAAATTGTTCTCTTAAATAAAAATAAAAAAAACCCTAGAGAAGTCTTAGGGAACATAGGAAGTTTCGTTCCTCTTTTGCCTGCATTTTCTGGAGATGCAGCAGGACTTAGAATATCCAACTTTTTTGACTTGCTGGGGGACATAGCAAAGTTGGCGGGATGGACAAAAGTGCAAACATTGGCGGTAGCCAAGTTAAAACTCACAGGCATTGCAAAGGAATTTGTGAGAAAGGACTGGAGGATCAAGCTAGTGGAAGATTATGATGAGTTCAAGCAGATCATAATTGAGAGATTAGAAAAAGTCCCTTTCCCCCTTCGATTAAATAGGTTCTACGCTTGCGTACAAGGCCCAGATGAGGATGTAGAGACGTATGCTGTGAGCTTACAAGCCCTTGCTACCAAAACAGAGATATAGCAAGAGAAAGCAGATGAGATGGAAACTGCAATGATCAAGCACATACAAAATAAAGAATTGGATGAACGGCTGAAGGCCCAATTTCTAAACGGTGTCGATATATGCATCAGACAACGAACCATGAGCTGCGAACCTGCAACTTTTGATGAAGCATTAAAAGCCGCTATTAGTGGAGAAAGTATAGAAACTCTGACTGCAAACCCCCATGCTACTATTAGACCTATAAGAGAAAGTCAAACCTGCTACGGAGAGAACATCTGATGGTTGGGAAACATTAAACGCCACTATCGAAGAACTTTGAACTTGATTGGATAAATTATCGAACAAGTCATCTTCAATTAGGAAAACCCCACTATATAGAAGAAGCAATGAGTGTCTGACTTCCTACCAGGACTGACGATGAAATACGCTATCCATGCCAATCCAGCACATAAACACTGATGAGCCAGATGCATCCTCAGAGGATGAAGAGAAGCGGAAAGGCATCATTAGAACCACAAGGACTCGAGCGAAGAGAAAACCCATCATTTTAGAATATGTGAATAACATTCCAGTCAAATTTGCCATAGATCCAGAGCTTAGTGACATGTTAGTATCTAGTGAAGTGGACAATAAGTTCAAAAGGAAGGCCCTAGTAAAATTTGGAACCAAAAGGAAGATAGTTGATTCAAAGGGAGAATCCATCTCAATCATAGGCATGGCAGTTCCCATCTTTAAATTTCTAGGACACAAGTTCCCCAGGGCATGCAAAATCTTCCTATCAGAAATTACCTCTCCTTGCGAGGGGATAATAGGAAAAGATGTAATAAAGAAAGATGGCCTCCTTCTTGATTATGCAAACGAACAAATTACGCAACCAAATCGGAAAATTGTTCATTTCTGCTCAAGTTGTAAGCCTCGACAGAAGCCAAAACGACGAAAAACAACCAACCCTACGGAAAAAGAGCCACCCAAAGCAAATGTGATTTGACTCATGCGTCAAGGCGACAAATCAAATTTATCTAAGGTGTGAAATGAAGAAATAGCCACCATAGTCACCCGACCTAGTAAAAGTAAGAAAAACTCGAGAAGACAGGAACAAAACCAAGGTCAAGGAAACCAGCAGGAAGAGTTTACAAATCAGTCCTCCTTCCGGAGCAAATAGAATTCGAATTGTTTAAGCCTCACCTCCGACCCATTTCCATAAAGAAAGAAAAAGAAAAAATTCTGAAAGCAAAGAGGAAGTGACGATGCATCGAAAATATAAAGGACCAAGAGTGGAGCAATGAGAGACTATACCTTCCCCACACCTACAGGAGCAGGAACGTGGTCTGGCAGAAGTGAAAACCCGCCAGACCACTGACATAGAAACCCCTGTCAGTCGCCAAAGCGATCTCTTAACTGAAATTTCAAATTTCAATCCAGATTTAAATCGTATCACATTCCCACAGTCAACTACATCTAGAAATCATCTAGAGAAGTATAATTTTAAAGAAAGCAGTGAATGGTGTAAAATCCGCAAATTTAACGCAGTTGTTGGGAAAAAGAGAATTGTAAACAAGTCCGATAGAAAAAACACTCCTGGTGAGAATTATATCAAAGGTCACCATTTGTTATCACAATTAGCTGGGAAAGTTGACACACAGGTGTCAAGAATGCACTGTTAATGTCAACATATGGCAAAACAACAATTCACACCTAAGCGATAATTTCAGCAAATGAACGATAAAAAAATTTTAATGTTCAAACGTTTTCGGCCGTCTTTCAGAGGCCCTTGTCAGGAAAAAAAATTACATATAACAGAAAAACAGTTTTATCTAACAGTTTTCGAACATATCTGTGTTCCAATTTTTTAAAATATATATTTCCAGTTTCTATGTCAGTTGTGTATGTCCAACATATGGCAATCATGTGATTCCTTTCCCACACAAAACGAATAAAAGCTTGCGCTCCCGGAACTCAGCATGCATCCACACACAGAAGTTATTTTTGGTACTTGTTCTCGTCGATCTCCATACTTACAAGCTAAGTAGTACGGTTCAGACCAGGAGTTGTGACTGCAAGTGTTGTTACAGAAATCCTTCCAAGTGTTTGTCCTTGTTTTATTTACAAGGGTTTTGTAAGCATTGTGTTCATGCCTGTACTGGTCTCTAAGTGTGACTTTAATGTTCGGGTCCTGTTCATTCCTAAAGTGCGTCCTTAATCTCCTAACTACTTTTTTCTTGTTTTCTAGCTCAGTGATCCACCAAGGAACCTTGTTCTGTTTACAATGTTTGATTTCTAAGGCAATAACGTAAGAGTTAGTGGTCGTATTCAGTGATGACATTCGAAATATTTAACAAAGGGTTCGCTAACAGAAAATTTTTCCTTGACAATTTTTTTTCGCTCAAATGGTGCATCGGAAGCCTCTAGTTTAGTAGTGTTACGGGGTATAATACGTATATTTTAATATTTTTAAAAGAATCAAACCATTGAGAAATGTTACATGTGTTTAACAAGGTTCTGAAAACTTTGAAAATGTTAACAACGGGTTCGGCCGAACCTGTGCGAACCCGCTGAATATCACCACTGGTCGTATTTGTACGCCTGGTGACAAGATAGTCTAATGTTTCCTGAGTACAGTGGTACCTCAGGATACAAATGCCCCAGCATATGAAATTTTCAGGATACGACATGAAATTTGAACATATTTTTGCTTTACAATATGAACAAACACTCACCATATGATGTTACATTAGTTTGCAATGACATTTTTTTATTCACTTCTGTTTATTAGTCTCAGTCCGCGTGTTTGCTTCGTTGTGGAAGGATCTTGCTCGATAAAGGAAATCTTGAGGTATTATCAGAAAGTGACTGGTTTTATTGAAAAAAACATCCCTAAAAGATTCACACTGGCCGTATTACTGCTCGGAGTAATGACATTTGCCTAAGTCATTTTAGAAACATTTTAAAAAGTGGGCAAAGCCAAACCTCTTTGGATAGATATTTTACCAAGCTACCTCTATCCAGTGAAAGTGCTGGTGGAAGTGAAGGAAAGAAAGCAAATGGCAGTGAATAAAACTTACAAATATATATACAGTGGTGCCTTGTATAATGTACTTAATCCGTTCCAGGTGAACGTCTGTTAAGTGAAAAGTCCGTTATATGAAACGTATTTTCCCATAGAAACACATATTAAAACATATAATTCGTTCCGCAGCACAAAATAACCGTACTGTACCATAAAAAAAAATGAAAATGGAGCAGTCACCAATTATGCCGGGTAGTCAGATGTTGTGAAGAGGAGGTGGAGGATCACTTTATTCACATATTCATACAGATACAGACTTTTTACACATTGCAGTAGGCCTCTTTTTATTGTTTTTTAATTGGAGTCAGATTCAGGAGCGGCTACTGGGGCTTGCAGGGTCAACTCCTCTTGTTCCATCTTTTGTCTTTTGGCAGCTGGCTTTTTGAAAAACATATCCAAGGTGGTCTGTTTCTCTCTCTCTTCTTCAACACCTGTCAGAAATGACGGGCAAGGGTGTCATTGTAGAGATCATTGATCCTGTTGGCCTCAACTGTGTTTGGATAATGAGTGTTGGTAAACTCCTGAACCTCTCCCCATTTGACAAGGAAGTTTCTGTCAACTTTCATTCCTTCTGATGACTTCTTTGCTTTGTTTCAATTGAAATCACCTTTCTGTTTTTTTTAAAAGCCATGATTTGCACAACACTAGAATAAATGTAAATACCCTGCACTGAGGTGATGTACGTAATAAACAAGGGAGCAAGCCGAATCCCAACGGGAGCTCTGTACTTCAGATATACTAATAATATATTCTAATAATATTAATATATTATAAAAATAGCAGATTGTCATTGGCAACGGCAAAAGAGTGGAAACATCATTCGCACTTGTTCGCCTAACGTAACTGCCGAACAGAAAGTCCGTTGTTCGCAGCCAGTCCGTTGCTCAAGTCACATAATGGCCAAATAGAAAGTCCATTGTGTGCAACGTCCGTTATTCGAGGTGTACGTTATACGAGGCACCACTGTATTTGTAAGTTTTATTCACTGCCATTTGCTTTCTTTAAATATATATATATAACAATACTAATTTTTTTATCTTTTTCAAGTTATTGTTACATTATGTTATGTAAGTTAAGTTTTAGTATCATTTCCCTTCTCCCTCTCTTCCACCACCAATTTACTCCTCCACCGTGGTCTATCCTCAAAGGTAAATTGCAATAAAACTACATTTTTTTAAAATTATTATTCTATTATGGTTATTTATACATTTACAACTACAAAATGCATTTTTCAGTGTTTTTCTTACTATAGTTATTATTTTTTAATGTACTACTTAGCTTTAATTTTAATGTGTTTTTCTTGTTAAAACAAATTATTTGCTTTTACATGTAAT